ATATCAAAAAAGTACTCCAGAGTGTTGTTCAGCATGGGGGTGAGTAGAAAATGAAGGCTAATCATGTTTTGGGTGTACTATTCCTTTAAGAAGCTGAATCTGAAGCGGCAGGTTGCAGACCCCTGTTAAATTCAAACATGGCTGCAGTTCGACTGAAGCACAGCTGGTTATGGAGCGATGGGAGCTCATCTCAGATCAGAAAACTGTAGAAATCATGGGAAACTTTGGCTCTAGAGAGTTCAGCTAACCATGGGAAGCAGTGGGGATCCTGAGTTTACATGTCAAAGCAGCAAAAAGGAGAAAAACAATAAGAGGTTCCTCATAAGTGTCACCCAATCACTTCATTTGAACTGAACAATCAGATCTGTTAGACATGGGGGTATTGTGCTGGGATGGTGCGTCTCTTACCTTCCCGGCCTTGTGGTCGAACCAAACCAGAGCATGGTTCCTGGACAGCACCTTGCAGTCAAAGGTGGCATTGTTCTGTGCCGGTCGGCACCGAGCCACAGACCTCCCGATCTTGACGGGCTCTTCCAGGTACACATGGCGCTCCTGGAATGGGTGCGAGTTGGGTCGGCAGGTGAACACAGCCAGTGCTGACGGCATTGATTTTGGCTTGAGAGTGTTACTCCAACCGGACACAATGGAGAGGTTGTCTTGATCCAGATTGGCAGGGTTCTGGTGCATTCCCTAGATAAAAAATCTCAAATATCTGCAGCCTGTATGCAGGGCAGATCAACAAGTTCTCTAATCTTTTAGGCACTAACTGATAAGCATTGTCCACTGTCCGATCTGAAGACTTTGACTCAGCTATGCGGTCATGTGTTGGAGAAGCATAAAAAAACAAAGTTAACAGGTAGAAAAACACAAGACATTCCTTTTAAAGACTCCCACTAAAGCTACATAGCGACGCTTTAAGCTGACAGCAGACCAAGGGGCCATGTGTCAAGACAAACTTGACCGCTTACAGCGTTGACAACCTGGCAAACAGCCCCTCACGTCCATCAAACTGTTCAAGCTCCGGGGTTGGCTGCTAGAACCCGGCTGATGCCAGAACCGGCCCAAAGAAATCACCCAACCCGCTTGTTTCCTGCTGTCATTGACTACTGCGCCTTTTTGACCCGTGATGAGCTCACCTGGAGCAGGCCAACGGAACCCCCCCTCCCCAGGGATAACCCTGAAGTCTCACCTGCAGCCTGTCGGTGTGAGCGGCTCATCAGAACCTGGGTCACCTTGTTATCCTCACTTAGGGAGCCTTAGATTAGCACCTAACGTCGGTTCTCCACTCCCTCCAGAAAGCGCTAAAGACACCCAGTAAAGCCAGACAGCCAGGACCCCCCGTGGGTCAATTAAAGCAGCTCGGTGTCCATTCGCAGGATATCGGCCACTTGAAACTCTCCGCAGACAGGGGCAGCAGGTCGGCCTGTTCAACTGGAATGTCAATCTCCAAACTATCGGCCAACCGGCTAGGCTACGCTAGGCTAGGCTAATGAGAACTAACAAAGTTATCCTTCAGCTCCTCCGATGTTTTCTCCCGGCCCTTCTCAGCAAGTTGTCTTACCGCGTGGAGGCGATGTGCCATACCTGTTTGCAGCAGCAAGGAAGGCCAACGAGACAAGGCGTCATTGGCTACAAACCGAGCCCCGAACCACGGTTAGCTAGCTAGCTAGCTTCTAGTCGCTGCTACCTGACAGCGAGAGCGGAAAAATCTGGGGAGTTTCTTCTTCAATGCGGCTCCTCATGCATCACACTGGGGTTGGGTTTCAGGGAAACCAGCGGGCTGTTGTTGACTGAACAGGTCCCAGCCGAGTCTTCCGGGATGGGTCAGGGTTAAAGCTGCTGGTCTCCAGCGGTTCTCTGGAAAATATCTAGAAGAAGTTGTCTTCCTCCGCAAGTCCGAGCCGCCGCCATACTGGAAGTACAGGCGTGGTGCGTTCACGGCCCCGTAGGATTAACCCAACTCTGGTTAGGACATCCATCTGAAAGACAGACTGATTGATTGATTTTTATTTTTTGGACATGTTCAGTTTTTGCTCTTTTCAGCAGTCCAGCTGATGTTTCTTGTGATGCCACTCTGATTGTGCTCCAGTATGGAGGACCAACTCTGCCATATTTAAAAATAAATACAGAAATAAATAAATGTTTAGTTACGGAAGAGGATTAGGGCCACTGAAAAAAAAA